TTTAGATTAAGATAAAAATAATAATTGATATCATCATCAGCACCATCGTCATAGTCATCGTCGTCGTCGTCATCTTTCTTAATAACAGGAAATTAATTTTATTTATATAGAAATTGTTGTAGAATAGATATGAATTATGAATAAATAAATGAACCTGCGAATGAGGGAATGAATGAATGAATGAATGAATGAATGAATGAATGAATTAATGAATGAATGAATGAATTAATGAATTAATGAATGAATGAATGAATGAATGAATTAATTAATTAATTAATGAATGAATGAATGAATGAATTAATTAATTAATGAATTAATGAATGAATGAATGAATGAATGAATGAATGAATTAATGAATGAATTAATTAATTAATGAATTAATGAATGAATGAATGAATTAATGAATGAATGAATGAATTAATGAATTAATGAATGAATAAACGAATAAATGAATGAATGGATAGACAAATGGAGAAATAAATGTTTTAACTTATAACAAAAATCAAACACAAATTCATGATTAAGCAAACTAAATAGAAAAATCTTCGGATTTTACCACAAATGTTTTCAATGAATCAAACAAAAAAAAAGCCAAATAAATTACAAGGCACAATTATTACAAAGTCCATGACAATAATAATAACTACCATAAATATTTATACTCTTTGGTTAAAGATATTTGATAATTACGTAACTGTGACGTCATTCACTTCAGCCATGCTAATGTAACAAATGGCTTGGCAATACATGAAAGGGATAAAATCCTATACTCATGCTCACATCTGTTTGGGGTCTTTCATTTGTTTTTCTTTGTTTTTGCTTCTTTGTTTTTTGTTTTTACTTTTTTGTTGTTTTTTTTTAAAATAAAAACATTTTAAAATTTTTGAAAACAAATTTTTTTTAATTTTCAAAATTCAAAATAGCTGAAAATTTCACATAAATAGATGAAATAAAAAAGAGGGATTGTTTCAAACTATGTATTCATGTGTGTATGTTTTTGTGTGAGTGTATGAGAGAAAGATGAAAAGAGAGAGGGAGGAAAAGAGAGAGAGAGAGAGAAAGAGGCATAAATCTATTATTCATATTTATTATCTTAGCCTCGTGTTTCATAAATATAAATAGCAGTTACTAATAACTTAATGCATTTTAAATATTCATATGATATTGTTTTAGAACCTTTCCGTCTGTCTGTTTGTATGTCAATATGTCTGTCTGTGTTTCTATGTCTATCTGTGCATCTCTGTATATCTGTGTGTCCGTCTATCAAACTGGGTGTTTATTGTCTATTTGTCTGTGTGCGTGTGAGTGTGTGTGAGTACGTGTGTGTGTTTGTCCGTATCAATGCCGTCTCTATGTTCGTTTGTGTGTCTGTCTTTCTATCCGTCTCCATGTCTGTTTGAGAGAGCAACGCATTTTAGAATTGAGAATATCTTGCAGGTAGAACGTGTAGGAAGGATGAATTACAAGCTTATAGTGCCAATGCTGGCAAACTCCATAAGTGGATAGGACCGTTTCCGTGCAATACTATAAGAGGTTTGTGTACATATGTGTGTATGCTTGTGTGTGTTTTTGTGTTAAGTACTGGTGTCTGATTGTGTGTTTGCTTGCGTCTATCTGTTTGCATCTGTGTGTGTGTGTTTGCATGTGATAGTTTGTGTTTGTATGTGTATTGGTGTATACGTGTATATGTGTGTGTGTAATTGTTTGTTTTTGTGTGTGTGTGTGTTTGCTTGTATGTTTGTTTGTTTGTGTGCATGTATGTTTAGAACAATAAATACGGTTTAGCAAGACAATAAAGGAATGCGCAGGATCCAATTGAAGGACCTTTGAAAATAAAAGATAAAAGCTTAAAATTTTCTAATCCATGCGCCATGTTTTATTGCTGATTATGATCGC